TTTTTCTGCTGCTGGTGGGATAGGTCTCTGACTCTGGTTCAATCAACACAAGTAGAATAATTCTAGTCGCGGGAAATAAATGTATATTACTGACTCTTCAATTCATTTATCTTCAATATTTATTCTTTTACGTTACTGATCAATCTTACAGAATGTTTCATTWATTTTACAGAATGCAGAATACTAACGTATTAATAAAAAAATAATACAAACTTTTAAACTGAATACAAACTTAATAATTAAATCAGACTTATGAACTAAACTAGACTTATGAACTAAACCAGACTTATGAAATAAAACAGACTTATGAACTAAAACAGACTTACTAACAAAGGGACCGTCAGATTACAACCTCTAAGATTTTTTCAAAYTTTGCACACTTGCAGTAGTCTATTAAAAAATTCATTGTATTTAGAAAAAAAGTAGATATTCAAGCGTTTCCGAAAAAACAGGAATAGAAATAAAATCGTCTGATCGATTCTTTGATAGGGAAAATATTTTTTTTCTGGTCTTTTCTTATTTTTTGTTTTTGTTATTACAAAGTATGTTCAATTCGTTTTATTCTTTTTTATAGAGTAGTTTATGGTAATTTTTTAGAGAACCTAATAAAAAAATAGGTGCATTTTTTTTAAAAACAATAAAAATCCAACAATATCACGCAAGTTATATAATTAATTATTATAAATAGAATTGCAAAGAATAAATTTCAAATATTTGTTTTTTTACGTTCCTGGAATGATTCACTTTTCATGATAATATTCGTCGTACAAAAACGCTAAAAAGAAATTTAATCCGGTTTCGTCGGTATTGATTCGAAATAAAAAAAATACAAGTACAGTCAATAATAATTAAAAATGTATTTGTTATTTTAAAAGAATAAAATCAGCATAGTTGTTTGGTCATATTACACGGGCTTGCTATTTGATCGTCTTTTCATTATTAAAGAATTCATTCGTGGCGATAGATCTTGTTTTAGAATTGTGTATCAATATCTAACAATGAATTCGGCTACTCTCTTGTGTGTTTGATCCTAAGGTTTTTATAGCTATATTATTTTTTTTGTTTTCGTATAGCATATTCTATAATAACAAAAACCCAAAATAAAAAATGGCTAGAAAAAAATATTTCCCCTATCGAAGAATCGATCCAACAATATCATATAAACGAAACCATTTTTGCGTTTTTTGAAAACGATTAAATATCTAATTATTAAAAAAAAGTACAACAAATATTCTTATAGACTACAAGTGGGCAAAGTTTAAAAAAAATCGGAATGATCAATCTGAGGGTCCTATTGTTAGTTTTTTATTTGGTGGTTATATTGACGCCTACAATGCTTACTGGTTAAAAAAATTAAAAAAAAGTATACTTTCTAGGGGTAAAGTCCAGACGACTTTAGATTCACGAATTTCTATTAGTCTGCGTCTATAAGAAGAGGAATTTATCCTTTATCAGGTTGTTATATTTCTTAAGAATGATAATATATACGAAATCTCTAGAATAATTACTTATAAAGTTATTCGTACTTTTTATTTGTAAACGACATGCTACGATTCTGAAAAATATTCGTTTTTTCATTCGTTTTCTTACTTAAAGTAATAAAATTATGTCGGGTTACCTGATATACACCTTCGACGAGGAAAATCTCAGCAATAAAATGAAAAAATTGCATAGGACGTAACAATAGTACGCAGACATTTGTATTTTGTTAGAAGAATAGCTTTCAATTGGAAAGATGTATTTTCTGTAGAATAAGGAGACACCCTCTGTTTTTAAAATAGCGGATTTTAGGTAAAGTAACATTTGATTGCAAAAAGGTAGTATCTTTAGTACTTCTTGAAGTTATCATAACTGAGGAAAGGTCAAATGTAAGACTACAGTGCTTTTAATAAGGTTTGAGATTTAATCGTTTGACTGTGGTTGGTAAATCGTGATATGCGGCTTAAAAATAATATATAGTGAAAAGTTAAGAATAATTATTTGATTAACATCTTGATAATAGTAGATTATCTTTTTTTAGTAATTAAAGAAAATAGAAAACAATACATACATAGATATTACTACATATATTTATTTAAAAATATAAATTCATAAGATAAATTCGTAGGTTTCTATAATTTTCCAAATAATTAATTAATTATCGTCGTGTTTTTCATGTTATGTTTATTGTCTCTTTTTCCCTAAAACAAAATTATCTTTTACAACATCGTACTTAGTTCCTTGTTATTCTTTATTCATATTTCGTAGCTAAATCATTCCTCGTATAAAACACATTCTTTATAATTTACCAATCTAATACCATACCATGCGATCTCCTTTTGTTACATAACCATATTATATTCGCGTTATCCCCTTCTATCATATTACTCTCTCTCTCTCTCCCTTGTCATTTATTTGTAATGTCTTTTTTCTTAATTTTCCCTTTCTTTCCAATCCCCACTTAGCACCCTCTCGGAAGACAATTGATCGATCGTATTATCGCTTTGGTTTTAGTTACGTATGTCGCAAGCATGCACACAAACACATTTTCATGCACTTATACTCACACTATCAAAACACGACAAAAGAAAGAGCACTTTCTTTACCTTCTCTTATAGGCCAGTCAATAAGAGGCAAATGAGAAATTTTCAGGTCTACTGCACTTACAATTTCATACAATGGTAATTCGACGACGCTGAATCGAATAGTGCTAATTTTTTTGCAATACAATGTTGCATTTACGAGAAAAAGGGTAAAAAATGTTAAAAAATGGCCGTATCTTAGAATCTAGGCATTAAATCGAAAAATGTCTCAAACAAAAGTTGTTTACAATTAAAAAATAAATAAAAAATGTTAAAAGGTGTATCTTTGTAATTGCGAAAATAAGCGAGAGATATAGGTAAAATTGATTTTAAGAGTAGGAGACAAGCCTTGCCTCTTCGTTGGTCTTTACACGCGAGCGAGCTAGCTTACGTTATCTTGAGGTCTCTCAGTCGTGAATATGAGTACGAGTTAAAAAAGAAATTGATATTTCTCTCTTTCTATTTTTCCCAGCTGTAGGAAGTATTTTTCGTCTTGGCCATCAAGTGTCGAGCGTTTTGTATACGAGTGCGAATAAGACAGGAAACCGATATTTCTTTTTTTCTATTTGTTCATGCGATAGCGAATATTTTTGTTTTAGCCATCGAGTGTCGAGCTTTATGTATGTAACTGTCAAACCTAGAAATCAGGCATTACAATGAATGTAAAGAGCCTTTAGACGAAGTCGGTAATAAGACTTTTTGGAAAGTTTTTCCTATTCATCGAACATAATACTTTGATATTCTATAGAATATCAAATTACTATTTAAACAATGTTGAAAATAATGCATCCTCCAGCACAGGCCAGACGCAACTCTCCTCCCACCCCCGCCACAAACACACCGCTAATCGCTCGCATACACATACATAAAAACGAGCATGATGGGGGTTGTTGAGAATGTGTATCCCTGTAATGGAAAATCTGTATTCTTTGTCCTTTATCGTATCGGAAAATAAGCGGGTTTAGAATGAAATGTTTTTTACCTGCATTTCATTAAATAATCATTCGAAGAACACATAGTAAAAAACAAATATTTTTTTAACTAATTAAAAACCTTTACTGCTCCTTGAATTTTTGTGTGCGGGTTTTTATACGTGGGTTTATAAGACTGAAATTTAATAAGATTGAAATTTAAAAAATGGCAAACATTTTACAAAAAAAATCAAATTTTGCTCAAAATTTAGATTATTTGTAGCTCGCTAATATTACATTTTCCATACAATCGAAAAACTTTTAGGTTATTGTACAGAGAAACATATACAAAGTAAGCAGAAAAAAAATCAAAGCGATCGGATGATTCTTCTTCAAATTATAACTGCAGTCAATTTAAAAAATGTAGTTTTAAAAAAACGCGTTCAAAGATAAAATAATTGCTTTCTGATCCCTAAGCAGATACTCTTTAGAAGGCTGTTATTCTCAAACTATTTAAAATATTTATTTGAAATTTTAGGATGTTATTTTTAAAGATATAAACTATTGAAATATAAAAAAAAATCCATTTTTTTTAAATTTTAAACTAGGTGTGCCCTTTATTTAAAAATAAACGAGAAAAATGAATTGCTCTAATGTTAAAAATATGCTGTACCATCAATTTTTATTAAAACATAAAAATGATATATATGTATATATAGGGTTGGGGTAGATATGGTTAGAGTTGACGTTGGAGAGCGAGTGCCAAAAGAAATTAGTAAGGAAGAAGTAATTAGGAAAACAAGGGAAGCGAAAAGGAGAAATAGTGGTGAAGACAGGAGAGAGAAGCCAGTACAACTGTAGGCAAATAGATTAAAGGAGAGGAAAGAGTTTAAGGTGCAAGTGTAGATAGGTGGTTTTTTTGTTGAGGTTAGGTGGGATAGGATGAGTGAGGAAGTGGCAGGGTTGAGCGAGGCATCACTAGAGGGAGCGATGGGAAAGTACAATGTGGCCGTCACGCCAAAGCTTGGCGCCTCCGACACTCTTACCGTCACGCCTCAAGTGGCGAAACTAAAGAACTAAAAAAAAACCACGTTGATGAACAACCGCTACTATTCGCTCTTCCGTCCCAACCACCGAGCGAGACACACGCGTACTCACAAGCAACGAACAAAGACGTGAAACCTATTCACTACTTCCTTTATCCTCTTTAAGATCTTGGTAAGTTTATTACATATTTTTGTACAAGTCCTTTTTGATCCGTTTATAATAAAAATATTCATACAATATTTTTCCCTAGTTAATTATTTATTTCTAAATATTATTAAACACGCTACAATTGGTGACCTTGACGTGATCAAAAAGGATTACCGAACCACGTGCTAACTTACGTGATCCAAAATCTTCAAGGTCGCGTGCAACCACGCGCATACTTAGTATAAACAGAGGACACTAAAAGACCAACAAAACTATGTCGTTCGACTTGACTCGCTCACCACTAGTTACAAGAGCAACAGGACGGAACGAAGACATGGGCAACATGGAACAAAACACGAGACGAATGCCACAAGAGGCATCCACTTTCCATCAGGCGTCCATTGGATCGGAACCAGCCAGCCATCTCACACCCGCAACTGCTGATAATTTAGTAAACGAAGTCACAGTAAGATTACCAACATTCATGGGCAATATGCCGGACATTTGGTTTCAGCAAATTGAGTCTATTTTCAAGAACAGACGTATCACTTCGGACACCAGGAAATACGAACTTGTCTTCGAGGCATTGACTCCTGATATCATGGAGAAAATATCCGACTTTCTTCGAAGACCACCGGAAGTAGATAAGTACAGTGCTATAAAAAGACTTCTATTACAAAGACTAACAGACTCAAAACAGAAACAAATTCTAAGGTTTCTACATGAACTACAATTGGGAGATAAACAACCATCACAATTCCTACGGGAGATGCGCAATCTGGTTGGTGACTTGGTCCACGAGGATTTTCTTCGAACCCGGTTTCTTCAGAGCATGGCTATGAATATCCGCACTCATCTGGTCGGCTGCATTGAAACCACGTTGGATAAATTGGCCGAGATGGCGGACGCCATACTGGAAAGTTGTGGAGGAGCATACGCAATGGCGGTTTCGCACCGGAACACTTCTCCAGAAGCACGAAGGCAACAGGTGACCGAACCACGGTTGGGCGCCCTTGATGAGCAAGTTAAAGAGATACTGGTGAAACTCAATGCCTTGGGCGAGGACCGCAGACGCGGTCATACAGGTGATGTTTCCCACGGGGGTTACGGTGGCGAAAGGCGCAGCCGCGACCGTACGGTGCGCCATGAACAACGTCCTCGCAGCCGAACACATTCCGGAGACAAGGGAATCTGCTACTATCATCGCAGGTTTGGAATAGATGCACAACACTGCTTACGGCCATGTAGCTTCTCACAAATGGATGGCAAACAGGAAAACTAAAAATGCTGTCCGCGGCACAGGCGGACCAGGGCAGCACCATATTTCCACAAAAGACAGAAATCCGTCTCCACGTTTACGACAGACGCACCCACGTAAAATATCTGGTTGACACAGGTTCCATGGTCACCATTTTACCTAGAAGATTATGTAAAGAAAAACTGACAGCACAACATCTAAGCTTATACGCTGCAAAGTAATCGAATATTAACACATATGGTACAAAATTAATTACTCTTGATTTAGGTCTTAGACGTCCTTTCAACTGGACTTTTATCATCGCTGAGGTAAACACAGCCATACTTAGTGCGGACTTTTTAGCGCACTATGGCTTATTAATAGATATGCGACACGGAAAGCTAATAGACAGAAACACTATGCTCTCAATCCCAGGCACAGCCACTGAGACGACAATACATAGCATATCAACTTTGAGCCATGATATGCCATTTGCAGGTTTGCTATCACAATACATAGACATCACAAAACCCAATTTCTTTTTGCCAGACGCAAAGAGTGCGTTCAGTCACACCATCGTCACTGTAGGACCATCTGTTACTGAACTTTCACGTAAACTCTTTGGGGAAAAAGCAACTGCAGCTAGAGCTGAGATACGCCGACTTTTGGACAACGGAGTAATACGGCAATCTAGCAGCCCATGGGCAAGTCCAATGCATCTGATTAAAAAGAAAGACAATACATGCAGACTATGTGGTGACTATCGCAAACTAAACAATATTACAGTACAAGACAAATACTCATCACCTCTAATTCAAAATCTATTCTTAACTATCCACGGCAAAAAAGTCTTTTCAACCATCGACTTAACAAGAGCTTACCACCAGATACCAGTCAACGAGAACAGCATACAAAAAACAGCCATTACAACACCTTGGGGATTATACGAGTACGTTGGAATGCCATTTGGATTAAAAAACGCTACTCAAGCCTTTCAAAGATACATTGACTACATATTCAGGAAATTGGACTTTGTATTCATCTATATTGATGACATTCTGGTCATGTCTGAAAACCACCAACAACACACTCACCATTTACAACAAGTATTCCAGAAACTATCTGATCACAAACTGTCAATTAACGTCAACAAATGCATTTTGGAACAGGAACAAGTACCTTTTCTTGGCTATCACATCAGCGGTGAAGGATATCATCCAAATCCAGACAGAGTCAAAGCCATTGATCAATTTCCACTTCCTGCAACAGTCTAGGAATTTCGGAAATTTCTTAGCATATTTAACTACTATCGTCCTTGCATTAAGAATGCAGCACAGTTGCAACTTCCTCTTACAGCCTATCTTAAAAATTCCAAATGAAAAGACAAAACTCCTATCTCCTGGACTGAAATCTCAAAACAATCCTTCTATGATTGCAAAAAAGCACTTTCCTCTGTAGCTCTTAGCAATTACCCAATTCCCACTGCAAAACTACAACTCACGACAGATGCTTCAACCACAGCAATCAGCTCAACGCTTGAACAGCTAGAACATGACAACGAATGGAGACCGATTGGTCTTTTCTTACGGAAACTAACAGATCCTGAAAAAAGATAAAGCACTTACGACAGAGAACTTCTTGCCATTTTCGCTAGTATCAAACATTTTAAACATCTCTTAGAAGGACGACAGTTTACAATACGATCAGATCACAGACAGCTAACTTACGCATTCTCACAGAAACTAGGAAAGGCATCTGAACGACAACTAAGACAACTAGACTACATCTCACAGTTTACAACGGACATAGTCTACGTAAAGGGTGAGAAACACGCTACAACAAGGCAGAAATTCTAAAGAAAAGAGGCCCGGAAAGACCAAAGAAAGGCGAAGGAAAAGTGGAAAATTATGGCAGCGAGAAGATAGTTCGTTTCTTGACGGTGGAGGAAGAAGAGAGAAACGGCGCGTGTATAGGGTGGGTTCCGAGAAGCAGGTTAAAGCGGACGCCGTGCAAGTACTCGGCAGAAATGGTGAAGGAAAAAAGCAAAGAGAAAGGGATGGAAAGGAGCGAAGATGGGGCAAGTGGTGAGTGTAATGGGCAGCGTAACTTTGTGGGGCTGCTAAGTGAGGCGCACGAGGGAGTGTAGAAGAGGGGTGAAGTGTAGGGACGGAGAGAAGAAGGAAGGAAGATGTGCTGATAGTTTTGGGAGAAATGGAGGGAAAGGTGCACAGGCAAGGTAGTGAGCATAAGAAGGATGAGAAGAAGGTTAGAAAAAACGGAGTGGTAGGAAAAGAGAGTGTGGAGGAAAGCGCTGGTAACAGTAAAGAAAAAAAAGAGAAGAAGAGGTTTCGAAAGGGGTGGAGAACTATATTGAGAATATCAGGAGCATCGAGTATTTACCAGAGGTGTCGGAGGGTTTATACAATTGGCTGAAAAGATTGAAGGAATCGACGATAAAGATAGGAAATAGAATAAACAAGAATGAGAAAGAGCTAGGGGGTGTGTTAGGACAAGAAGTTAGAATTAGAGTAAATAATGCGATGGATAAGATATGGCAGCGGGTGAAGGACGAGATAGGCGGATGGAAAAAAGAATAGAGACAGGAGGAAATGTGTGCGGAATGTGCAAAGATAAAAAATGATAGAAGAAGGTGGGAAAATGATTTATGGAGAATGAGAGAGGTTGCGGATCGTGACAGGAGACAGTGGGAGGAGGAACGTGGGCGACTATTGCGGACAATAAATAGGCTAGTAATGGAAAATGAAGGCAGGGATAAAAGGAGAAAGGGTTTGATGACAAGAGACGAGGGGGGAAGAAATGACAGCCTGGAGTCTGTGAGCGATGTGTCGATGTAGTATGAAGGGGGGATTGTCCAAAAGCGAAGAAGATGAGATGAGCAGAAGAGCAATTGAGTGATCGGTAGGCGAGGTGGAAAAGTAAGGAATCACAGCAACAATAATAAGGGCAACTTTAGCAAAATGGGCTTTGAGCAAAAAAAGAAGAGAAAAAAGCAAGATAGAGGACCTAAGCCGTTATCGAAAGGGGAATGGGGGGAGGAAAAAAGTAAAAGGGAGAGCCGGAGGAACAATGTTTGCATCTCCTTTAGGGAAAAGAAAAGGACCTCGAAAGAGGGTATAATAAAAGAAGTTTTAGGAAGAACAAAAGCTTAAAAGGCAAACGGTGACAAAACACGTCAGCAAAAAGCTGATAGTTTTAATTTTCAAAAATTAGTTACAGAAGATAAGTGTGATGAAAAAAGCAAAGGAGTTAAAAGGGTCAGGGATATAATTGAGTAACGACTGTACAAGAAAGGAGAAAGAAACAAAAAGGTGGCTTTGCGGGGTTGCGGAGAAAGAAAGAAGAATAGAAAGGCAAGTGTGGGCAAATTATATGAATATATGGTTAATTAACGAGTGATAGAGATGGAACGAGAGGAAAGGGAAGCTTTTGCGGTGGAGTAAATAGGAGGATGGGAGGCAGCCCTTTCGGAGCAAGTGATATGGAGGATGGAGGCAAGAAGGAAGGGAGAAAAACTAGAAATAACGAAGTTTCGTGGGCAAATAAGAGGGAAGATGGGAGAAGAAATGGTAAGAATGATATATCTGATAAAAAAGGATTCAAAGTAATAAATTGGAACATAGCAGGAGTGTTTAAAATAGGAGAAGCGTGGGAGATGTTAGAAGAGATGGATATTATAATACTGTAGGAAACGTGGGTAGAAAAAAAAAATGAAGATAAAACGGAACAAAAAATGAGTGGAAGGTATAGCTGGTACTTTTTAGCAGCTTATAGCGAAAAAAGGGTGAAGAAAGGCAGAGCAAAAGGGGGTCAAGTGGTAGGTATAAGGAACTGGAGCATAAAAAAAGAGAAATTCGGTGTAATCATGGTGAATGATAAGGCAAAGGAAAAGACAGCTATAATAACGGTGTACAGCAATGTAGGAATTAAGAAATTGGAGAAGGAATTGAAAGAATAAATATTGGAGGAGGGAGGAGCCACCAAGAATGTTCTTATTGTCAAAGATATGAATGCAAAAAATGGACGTGAACAGGCAGTTAATATTAAAGGTGTGGAGGAGTTTGAGGGGGAAATAAGGAGGTCTCAGGATAAAACAGTGAACGCAGAAGGTAGAAAGCTGTTAGGCATATGTGAAGAGCTTGGTTTGAAGGTATTGAATTGGAGGGCGAAAGGGGATAGAGAAGGCAGAATTACCTTTGTAGGAGGTGGTGAAGAATGTAATGGATCGGTAATTGACTACTTGATTGAATTAGACAGAGGAAAAAAAAGTACGGTTAGATGGATAGGGATGAGGGAAAGAATGGAATCAGATCATTTGCTAATAATATCTGTGATAGGGGGAAAAGGAGTGGTAGGGGAAGATGAGGAGGGAGAAAAAAAAGAGGAGCAAGAGAGGGGGAGATTAATATGGATAGAAAAGAAAGCGGAAAAATTTAGGGAGAAAATTTAGCAGAAGGAGGAACTTGGGCAGGGAAGGGACGGTTAGGAGGGGGTGAAAAGAAAATACTGTGAGCAGCGGAGAGGATAGGGTTAAAAACAAGAGATAGAAAAAGAAAGAGAAAGAGAATGCTTCCAACGCGGTTCAGTTAGGAATAAAAAGTGCAAAGAAAAAAAGTTTAGGATAAATCAAAAGCATTTACGAAGGATAAGAGTTTAGAGAACAAGCAGGAATTGGGTAAAGAAAGAAGAAATGTGAGAGACACATATAAGGAAGGAAGGGAAAAATGGAGAAGAGAGTTGTGGGAGGAAGTAGGAAAATCCAAGGATATGACAATGTGGGGGAAGGCGATAAATAAATTCAGAAACAAGGGTAGATGTAAAACGACAGAAAGAATAGCGAAGGAGCAATGAGAGGGGCATTTCGTAGGGCTGTTAAATGAGGAAGGTAGTGAAGAGAGAGAGAAGTAGGGAAGGAGGGAAGGATTAGAAGTTAATGCAAAAAAGAAGAGAAGGAAATTAGCGAGGAGGAAAAGAAGAAGAAGAGAGAATTTTTTAAGGAATTCGGGAAGAAGGAATTAGAGATTGCT